TTTTATTTATTTATTTTTTAAATTTTATTTATTTATTTATGTGTGTGTGTGTGTGTGTGTGTGTGTGGCCAGCTCTGCCCACCAGGGGGCGGGGCTGGCTGGCATGTGGTGCTGGGGGATTGAACCGTGGTCGCTGTGCTTTGCTAAGCTTGTTCTAAGTAGGTGCTTTAGACCACTGAGCCATCTCACCAGCCCCATACTGTCTTCTTTAAATTTGAACTTATTTTCATGGTGGGGTCTGGGAATCTAACCTGGGCCTTGTCACTTAAATACATCTCCAGGTCTCCTTTTACTTTTCATTTTTTTTTTTTTTAGTGCTCTCTTTGGCAGCACATACTCAAAGTGAGAGGTTAGTATTTACAGAATGGTTTCTGGAGAGTCCACATCTACATTTTATTTTCTCAAACGCTTGTATTCCAAGAGTACTTTTTAAATTTTGAGACAAGTTCTTCTTTAATTGCCCAGATGGGGTTTGACCTTGTAATCCTCTTTCCTCAGCCTTCTAGAGTGCTGTGATTACAGGTGTGTGCCATGCATGGCTTCATTTGAGCTTTTATTTCTTGTTTATTCTGTAAGCTTTTTCATTAGATTGTTACGTATTTGTAAACCTCAAAACTTCAAGGCACAATATAAAAGTTAACCTCTTATAGGCTCAGGTGTTGGTCAGTGGTAGAGCAGCCGTGAGGCCTGGGGTTTGGCCCATAGCACCTGCAAAGAAAGAAAAAAAGATACCTTTTTGCTGTGGTGGCAGAGCTGTGGTATTAATGCTGCATTGTGCATGCAGAGCCCTCCTGCTGGCATGCAAACCATGTTACGCCAGCATTGCCTTGGCAGCCAAACGTAGGATAACAGTGTACACAGGGTAGCGTTGGCACTAAAGAAGTAGGGATAAAGAAGTAGGTTGTGTGTTGCACTTTGGACATTCATTGAGGTTTGCCATCTGTGTCCTTCTAGAGGTACTCACATATATATATATATATATATTTTTTTTTTTTTTTTCCTCCTGTATTTTAGGGAAGGGTTTACAGCGTTTTCAGGGTTTCACTACTAGACTGGACTCATAGTGATTCTCCTGTTTACAGCCTCTTAAGTGCTGGGATTACAGGCGTGTGCCAACATGCCCAGTCTCAAGTGCTATCTCAATGTACCCCGGGGATCGAACCCCCACCCCTGAGCCTGCTTGCAGACGCTTTAATCCATTGAGCTATTTGGCCAGCCCTACCATTTTTGTCTTGTATGTCCTACAAGCATTTGATGTATACACAAGCAAATACATTCATACATTTTCTCTCTCCGTTTTTTTTTTTTTTAAACACAGAATGTAATATATACTTTATTTGTGTTGTACTGTATCTTTTTTTTTGTAAGACCGAGTCTTATTATATGTAGTTGAGGCTGGCCTTGAACATGTGGCAGTGCTTCCTGCCTCAGCCTCTGTAGTGCTGGGATCGTAGGCTTGTGCCAATTTGCTTTGAACACGGTTATATTTTATTTTTTTCAATTATTTTATTAGTACATAAACAGTTTTCGTACTCATTTTTCTCAACTACATAGTATTCTGTTGTTTGGCCATATCAGAATGAATGGATGTTTGAATTATTTATCTTTTTCTTTTAGAAGCAGTGTTACTACATCTCATTAATTATGGATGTTGGAATTTTTATCTGAGAAGTTCTGAGAAGCAGTATCAAAGGCATATTTTTTTCCTTTTTTTTTTTGTGGTGGAAATTGAACCCAGAGCCTTGCACATGCTAGGCAAGCATTCTGCCACTGAATTATGCCCTACAGCCAACTTATTTCTCTCTCTCTCTCTCTCTCTCTCTCTCTCTCTCTCTCTCTCTTTTTGGTCTTTGTGTTTGTTACTTGTTTTTGTTT